TTTTTGGTTATGTGCACTTCTATTGGTGATACATTTGTAAATAGACCAAATACTGTATTTGTAGTACTTCCTGGTGTGTATATGACAGGCAAAGGTTTAAGGGTCGTTGTCTCCTATTGTTTATTACACTTCAGACTTTTTTTCTGTTTCCAGCTACCTCCACTGCTATCTTTAATTTCATAAATTTGTTACCACCGACTGATATCCACTGATGTGATTCAATCACTTAATTTGTTTTTATTAGCTGTGTGTAATTATGACATTAAATGGTCTAATAAATGGAAAGATTATGGTATTTTATTCATACTAATGGGACTAGAGCAATTAACATGCCTGTCAGAGTTTATAAAATTACCTGCAAGTCAAAATATGAGTAGCCAAAATAATTCTTGAAATCTCATCAATTCAAGATATTTCTTTTACGAATGACAACATTCCTTAATGGCAAATTTGTTTTGGTTGGCTGGCAGTAACACTGATGTCAAAGTCTTTTAAGTTGTGTTGTCCTTACCTGATGAAAGAGACATGTACTCCTAGGGATCTATGGGTAGCAGAGCAGTCAATGCACAGAAACACACCATAGGTAACACTGGCCCAGGTAGGATTCTTAGCACGGCAGTCAAAACATATCTGCAGACAGAGCAAAATAACAAGTTATGAAGACATGCAATAACCAGATCACATGATTAAAGACTAACAGGAAGATGAGAAATGTGAATTTTACTTTTTCACTTTCCAAAACAGTCATCAAAGTTTAACACAACCAGCCAAAATATTGCGAGTTGGCCATCTTGGACAATGTGTTCAATGTGCAACAATATGGTATTATAAATGGCAACTGTCAATACCAGATTCACTGAACCACATTATATATCTTATATTCCTATTCTATCCATGTATCTTAATAGTATAAAAGTCAAGGCATGTAATAATCCAAAGCAACTACTATAATTACTATTAATAGTGCATTAATAACAGAGCTGTGGCTATGATCAAAGTAAGTCGTATTTGAATCATTCATGATATTATTGTTATTCCTATTGAAGACGTACTTCTAAAAGACCAAATACAATATATTAATAGTAATTCTGCAATTCTTACAGATGCATTTAGAAACGATACAATCAGTTTACGACTTCATTGTACATGGCTATTTGACGATGTGCATCATTGTCCCCTCAGGCAAGTCAGATTTTGTTGCAATCTTAAGTCACAATGGAATTCAGAAAATCAAGTTGAGTCACCTTTGTGACAGCTGATGGGGTTTTTCTGATAGGACGACTACATTCCTTGGTTTTTATACTTATTTTGTTTATTAAAAGTGAATCTCATACATGTATTACCAAATTACTAATTTCCTAAATAGAGTAGAATGTTTTTGAGGATCACTGTAAAACGGGTTCAAGAAATCGCCCAAGGCGTTTTTCGGCAGTTTTCTTTCAAGTTTTTTTTTTTATATTTTGGCGACATTTCAATCATTCTTGACGCTTAAAAATAGAATCTAATTTAAGAGTTACCGTAGTCATAGATGCCTGTTCTAGAGTATGATGTTTAGTGTGACTAGGGTGAATGGGTAAGCTTCGTTTCGACAATGAGCCGTTATCACTGTAACAACGTTAAAATATTCTTCAAATGTTTATCTTTGAAAAAAATCATGCCCTTTTCCCATCAAAATCCAAGCCAAATAGATCATACTACAACATTGCCAATTTTCTTCTGTGTTGCGTTCAATAACATTAACATATTTAAATGAGCTAGGGTAATTTGAACGCGTTGGCAGCATCCTGCATTTTGATTGGTTATTTAGCATTTTGACCTATCAGGTCAAAGAACATAGTCTCAGGTCAAAGAACACTGTCCCAGGTCAAAGAACACTGTCCCAGGTCAAAACATGGCGTATATTCTCCAGCATCGAGCGTTTAATATGCGACCACAATCATTCACTTATGATGAAACTCAGTTGAAATTTAGTTGCATTTCATAACAATTAAATGCAGCATGACCGGATTGCACCACCACGATCATTTTCTACTAAGCAATTGCATTTGTGTTCTTTTTTATTTGAAACTTTTTAGAATTTACTCTTCTGTTACTTATAA